TCATACCCAACGGTGTGAAAAGACCAAAACATGGCTCAAGAAGAACTCAAAGCCCTAGAGCCAATAACTCTAAGAGACCAAGAAATAGCCAAACTTTCAGATGCACAGTTCAAAACACTGGTGATCAGGATGCTCACAGAACTGGTGGATTTCGGTCACAAATTAGAGGAACATATGAAGGCTAAACTAATTGAAATGAATGGAAATGCACAGGAAAGCAATAGTGATGGAAAGGAAACTGGGACTCAAATCAAGGGAGTGGACTAGAAGGAAAAAAAAATGACTAAACAGAAAAGAATAAAGAAACAAGAATTCAAAAAAATGAGGACAGGCTTAGGAACCTCCAAGACATCTTTAAACGCTCCAACATCCAAATTATAGGGGTACCAGAAGGGGAAGAGGGACAGCCACCAGTGGAAAACTTATTTGAACAAATAATAAAGGAGAACTTCCCCAATCTGGCAAAGGAAATAGACTTCCAGGATATCCAGGAAGCTCAGAGAGTCCCAAAGAAGTTGGACCCAAGAAGGAACACACCAAGGCACATCATAATTACACTAGCCAAGATTAAAATGAAAGAGATAATCCTAGAAGTAGCAAGAGATAAGGGGACAGTCACTACAAAGGAGTTCCCATCAGATTGTCAGCAGATTTCTCAAAAGAGACCTTACAGGCAAGAAGGGGCTGGAAAAAAGTATTCCAAGTCATGAAATCCAAAGACCTACATTCAAGATTGCTCTATCCAGCAAAGCTTTCATTTAGAATGGAAGGGCAGATAAAGTGCTTCTCAGATAAGATCAAATTCAAGAAGTCCATCATCACTAAGCTCTTATTATATGAAATGTTAAAGGGACTTACCTAAGAAAAAGAAGATAAAAAATATGAACAGTGAAAGGACAGCAAACTCACAGTTATTAAGAACCACACCTAAAATAAAAGCAAACTAAGAGGACAGCTAGATCAGGAGCAGAACCACAGAAATGAAGATCTCATGGAGGGTTAGCAACAGGGGAGTGGGAGGAGGAGAAGGGGGGAGAAGGTACAGAGAATAAGTAGAATAGAAGGTAGGTAGAAAATAGATAGGGGGAGGGCAAGAATAGTATGGGACATATAGAATCTAAAAAACTTGAGACACATGGTCATAAACTAAAGGGGGGGAATGATGGGGGAGGGGGTGTGCAGGGTGGAGGGGAATGAAGGGGGGAATAGAACAACTGTAATGGCATAATCAATAATTTTTTTTAATTTTAAAAAATAAAAAAAGAAAAATCAAATGACCACATATATAAGGGTTCATTTTCTGTACTTTCAATTCTGTTTAATTGATTACTTTATACTGTTACATTCCGCTCTCACAAGCAAGAAGGGTCGGAGACGGTCGGGCAGTCAAAGATGTTTTATTGGCCAAAGTTTCAAAGTTTTACCTGCTCAGGGGCGAACTCTCGGGGTGTCCGGAGACTCGGTGCCAAAATGGCTGCAAATGAGAGTCGCGCCTAACGCTTACAGGCTAGGGTTTTTATAGAAGCGGGCAAGCAAGCGGGTTTCCAGAAGCAAAGGTGGCAGTTAGCGATAGCTAAACGAGCTCAGGTGTGAAGCACTTAACAACTCCTGACACATGGAAGCCCTCTATACGTTTTGACCGATTCCTAACTCTCTGGAACACCTGCCTGGGGGTGGGTGCGGTTTCTACTCAGGCTTCAGCAAGCAGTCTTGGGTTGAGCAAACAGCTTAGCACAAACTTATTTCCTCCTCGACTCTAACATTCCCCCCTTTCCTTTGGCAATAGGTCAAACCCTTGACTCATTTTCCTATGACTAGTGCTCTCTAAATGTTGACCTTGGTTGCCCAGGGGCTCTGGATGGTCAGCCCCTGTCGGTTCCTCTGGGGGCGGTGCCTCTGGTCTGCTGGGAGCCTTAGGGGGACTTAGGAGAGGCTGGGATGGCCTTGGCAGCAAGCCATTTCCAAACCCTTTCATGATTGGCCCTTCTATTTGAGGAATCCGTCTAATGGTGAAGAGGACTCCTGGGTTCCACCTTGAGGTATACAGACGTAGTCCCCAGGTGCGTCCCTTATCCCATCCTGGTCAGGATTGTCACTGTGATGGGGTTGCACCTATCTTGGGCACAGCGGGGGTTCCCCTTCCTTACTGGCGGGTTGGACTTGTCTCTTGTGAGGCTAATGAATGGGTCTTTCCCTGCCTTCGGTGTCCACGAGGGGGGTGCGACAATTGTCTCCAGCCCCCCCACAGGTTCCCTGTAGGTATGTTTCATAATTCTCTGTTCTATGTGGACACGTGTAGAGGTCTGTGTGGAACAGATCTCGGTTTAAATATTATTACAATTTGATCCCCCTTCTCCCGCAGCCCCTCGTAAGGTTTGAGCTTTGTTTGGGTCATCAGAATGGAGTCCATTCCCATCACAAAGTCTATGTCCAAACCATTGGGAGAGATCGGCCTGGAGGATCGGTCACCTTGCCACTGCTTCCCGTGTTGTTTGTGGCAATTACTTCACCGTCAGAGAATCTGACCAGAACCCACTGATGGGCGAGCCCCTTCGTGAGTGTGACCCAACTGGCGAGCCACACCCCTATGAGCGGGAGAAAGTGAGTTTTAGGGGCTTGCCTGGGTCTTGCTGGACTCGCCATCTTTGAGATCCTTCTTCTGGCGCTTGGGCTGCCTTGGTGTGGGATAGGTGGATCCAATATGGTTTTTCTGCTACCCGAATAGCGGTGGGGGTGCTTAACAGTACCTGGAAAGGTCCGATCCACCGAGGCTCTAGGCTTCCTCTCCTGTGGTTAAGGATCCATACCCACTGCCCAGGCTCCAGTGACTCTGGTGTCTTCTCTCCCCCCTTGGCGTCCTTGGTGCTGGGCCTGTCGAAAGGCACACACTTCGCTCCGAATCTTCTGCAGCGCTTGCAAGGGCCTAAGGAAGTTGTGGTTAGACATTTCTTTCTATTTCCTCTTTAGTTAATTTAGGAACCAGAGGTATGGGTTGCCCAAATGGTATTTCAAAGGGTGCCCATGTCTTAATATAGGGGATACATCTCACACGGAAGAGGGCAAAAGGGAGTAGCTCCACCCAATTATCGCCGGTCTCCTCTTTGTTTTATTAAGGTTTCTTTAAGTGTCCTATTTGTTCTCTCTACTTGCCCTGAACTCTGTGGTCTGTAAATGCAATGGAGTTTCCAATCAATCCCTAGCCTAGCTGCTAATTCTTGTGAAACCTTGGAAACAAATGCAGGTCCGTTATCAGACCCTATGGCTAGAGGTATGCCATACCTAGGTATAATCTCTCTCATTAGAATTTTACAGACTATGGAGGCAGTTTCTCCTCTCGTGGGGAAAGCCTCTACCCACCCAGAGTAAGTATCTACTAAAACTAACAAATACTTGTACCTTGATTTCCCTCTAGGCATTTCGGAGAAGTCAGCCTCCCAAAGTTCACCTGGGGTTCTTCCTCGATACCTCATGAAGCAGGGCAGCCTCTTGTTCTGGGCATTCACTTTGGCACAGGCCTTACATCGTGAGGAGATTGAGTGAATTATGTCCCTTAGGTGTAGTCCAAGGTAATATTTTCTAATTAGCTGTTCTAACTTATTTTGTCCTAAGTCGGTGCTGGTGTGGATGTCTTGAGTTATTTCTCTTAATACTCCTTGAGGTAAATATATTCTAGCGTCAGGGAGTACTATCCACCCATCTTTATTTTTCTTCCCTCTTAGCTTAATTCCTTCTTGTTCTTCTGTAGAGTACTTGGGGTTTGAAGGCAGCCCTGGCTGGGGTATTAGGGAGAGTAGGTTGTCCTCTCAGCCTGTAGCAGCCTCCCTGGCGGTGGTGTCGGCCAAGTTATTTCCTCTTATAATTGGGGAGTCTCCTTTCTGGTGGCCCCTGCAGTGTATGATAGCAACTTTCTTGGGTAGCCATATGGCCTCTAGGAGGGTGAGGATTTCCTCACGGTTCTTAAGGTCCTTTCCCCCTGTGGTTAGGAGGCCTCTTTCTTTGTAGATGGCTCCATGGATATGGGCAGTGGCAAATGCATAGCAGCTGTCAGTATAAATATCGGCGACTCTCCCTTCAGCTATTCGTAGGGCTTGGGTTAGCCCTATCAATTCTGCCTTCTGTGCAGATGTTCCTTTGGGCAGTGCCTTCTGCCACAGCACCTCATCCTCTGTGGTCACTGCTGCTCCTGCAAATCGCTGTCCATCTTTTATAAAACTGCTCCCATCAGTAAAGAGGGTCAGGTTTGCCCCTTCATAGGCCTGGTCCCGCAAGTCTGGGCGGGCCCCGGTCACTGTGTCAAGAACCTGAGTGCAGTTATGGACAATCTCAGCATCTGGTATTGGTGGTAGGGTAGCTGGGTTCAAAGCAGTGGTCTTGAGAAACTGCACTGCTGGAGGGTTTAACAGCTGTGCCTGATACTGTGTCAGCCGCGCATTAGATAACCACCTGTCTGGGGGCAACCGTAGGACTTTTTCTATATAGTACTCACCAATGACTTGTATATCCTGTCCCAGAGTTAGCTTGCTCGCTTCTTTGACTGGCAGCAACGTGGCTGCAATGGCCCTCAAGCAGGCGGGCAACCCAGATGCAACGGGGTTGAGTCTCTTTGATAAACAGGCCACAGGCCTTTTCCATGGACCCAGGGTCTGACTCAAAACTTCTAGGGCTATACTTTCTTTTTCTGCTACAAACAGTTGGAAAGGCTTGGTCAAGTCTGGCAAGGCTAGGGCTGGGGCAGCTACTAAAGCCTCTTTTAAGGTCTGAAAGGCTTGTCTCTCTTTTTCAGTCCATGTGAATGAGTCCTCCTTGCCCCTGGTTAGTTCATGCAAAGGCCTTGCTATCTCTGCAAAACCTAATATCCACAGCCTGCAGTATCCTACAGCCCCTAGAAATTCGTGCACCTGCCTTTTGGTGGTCGGCTCTGGAATTTGTAGAACCGCTTGAATCCGTTGGCTGGACAGAGTTCTCAGCCCCCCTTGCAGGTTATACCCTAGGTAACTTACAGTTTGGGTCACGATTTGAGCTTTCTTGGCTGAGACTCGGTATCCCATCCTCTCAAGGTCTCGCAGCAGGTCAAGGGTGGCCATTTCACACTCCTGTTCTTGAGCTGCTATTAGGATGTCATCTATATACTGGAGGAGAACTATGGTGGGGTGAGATTTCCGAAACCCCTGGAGGTCTTTGCTGAGGGCCTCGTTAAAAATCGTAGGTGAGTTTTTATACCCCTGAGGCAGTCTAGTCCATGTGAACTGCCCTACTAGTCCGTTTTCAGGGTCGTTCCATTCAAAGGCAAAAATCTCCTGGCTGGTGGCTGGTGAATGGCCAGTCCAGGCGGGTTAGTCTCTGCCCACACCCCCGGTACCTGCATTTGCAATGCTTCTGAGACTCCCGCTTCCTCTCGGTCTCCATCTTGGAGTGCAGCTAGCAGGTACTCCTCGGAGAGGGGGACCGTTACCTCCACATTGGCTCCTGCCTCGGGATCTTCCTGTTGTCTGAAGGTTATCGTAGCTTGGAGTTTCTGCAACAGAGCCCTTCCGAGCAGCGGGTATGGACAGTCTGGCAGTGATCCTGGCAGTTGTCCAGGGGTAAGTTTCAGCCTTGCCCGTTGCCCCTACAATTTTTGTGGTCGCCTTCTGGACTTGCCCCCGGGGTTGTTTTAAGACAGAAAAAGTGGCTCCCGTGTCAACTAGGAAGTTCACTGGCTTGCCCTTGACAGTTAAGGTGACCATGGGCTCCTGGGAGCCAACAAGTATGGAGCCCTGGCCCCGTCAATCCAAGGTTTGGAGGAGGACTTCTGGGCCACGTTCTGGGCCTTTGTTCCCACCTCCCCATTTGGGGCAGTCTCGCCTCCAGTGTCCTTTCTCCCTGCAGTATGAACACTGGTCCTTCCCACGTCGGGGCCTCTGCTTCCCCTGCTGCTGTTTCTCATTTCCTCTTCCTTTCTGAGGTGCTTTCTGTGCCGCGAGCAGAATTTTGGCGACTTCTTTTGCTCTCCCTACCTCTGGGTCATCCCTGTTTACATATACTTTCTGTGCTATTTCTAGGAGCTTGCTTCTATTTTCTCCCTCAAACCCTTCGAGCTTCTGTAATTTCTTTCTAATGTCTGAGGCTGCTTGGGTTACAAAGGCCATGTTAATTAGTCTTCTGTTCTCGGGCGCCTGGGGATCTAATGGGGTATATACCCTATATGCCTCCATTAGCCGTTCTAGGAAGGCTCCGGGTGATTCGTCCCGCCCTTGAATAATCTCACTTACTTTGCTAAAATTTGTGGTATTGCTGCTGCCTCAAGTCCCCTCAGTAGAGCCTGGCGATATTGGAGGAGCGCTTCCCTTCCGCCGCTTGAGTTTGGATCCCAATTTGGAGGTTGGGAGGGTAGGACAGCCTCTAATTCTTTCCTCCCCCCTGCAATCGTCCCCTCTTCCCCCCATAATAGCCTTCGCTGCCTCTCTCATAATTCTCTCTCTCTCCTCTGAGGTAAACAGGGTTTGCAGAATTTGCTGGCAGTCATCCCAAGTGGGCTGGTGGGTTCTGAAAAGTTTCTAAAAGGGAAATCAACCCCTGTGGCTTTTCTGAGAAAGGGGGGCTCTGGTGCTTCCAATTGTATAAATCACTAGTAGAGAAGGGCACATAAATCAAGCGCGGGCGCGGTGGTGAAATGGCAGCGCCTGCCTGAGGAGGTAAAATGGCTGCGGCTGCATCCGCTCCGCCGGGGAGGCCTGTGCCCTGCCGTGCTGAGTGCCGCCACGAGTATGGGGCGGGCTCTGAAATCTTTTTCCCTCCTCGGGAGAGTCTGGCTGAGGTTGGATTAGGTGTGGGGGCGGCGCTAGGGCTGGATCCAAAGATCCTCACGCTGACCGGGCAGGACAGGGTATAACCGGGGTCTAGCCGGGGTTGCAGTGCGAGACCCCCCCCCCCCCCCGCATTTGGATTTCCCTTCACAAGTTCCTTTGTCAGTCCTTTCTGCTCTGTAGTTACACAGATAGCTCTCCGCCCTCTTTTGTTAGTCTGCATGCACTTCCGAATATACCCGGGGCGCTCGGTGGCTATGTCCACCCAGACATCAATGTAAACAAATTGGTCCGGGTGGGGCACCCGGTGCACAGTAGCGCGGACAGCAAACAAGAAGGGAAGATCAAAGGTTCCCTCAGTGGGCCAGCCCACATCGAAGGTGGGCCACTCAATTTGGCTGAGGGTCCGGAGGGACTCCGGTCCGGCGGGGGTCCCCCATATCCGCTGGCGCGCCTCTGAAAGTCAGAGAAATTATTTAACAGGCAATCAAGGGGTGACCCGGGCACGGATCCGCTCTGGCCCATCCTGGCGCGCCGGACGACCCAGGGAATTTCGGAGGCAAGGAAGGTTATAATCAGGACTAGCAGTAAACTCACGAACAGACACAACCTCTTATCACACACAGGCGAACCGCGGTTCTCAGGCCTACGTCTCTCAGGCCTACGTCTCTCAGGCCTACGTCTCTCGCAGCGCGGCGCAAAAAAAGAACCGACACTCCTTGACCAAGTCACGGAGTGGAACTGAAAACTAAGTGACCTAGTCACTACTCCCGAGGGCGTCCCCTCTTTTGGGAGCCCCTGGGTGGACTGCCGGTAACGTCTTACCTACCACCTCAGGGTTAAGCAGTCTAGACTTCCAAAACCAAAAGAGGATCCTCGTTACTTACGTTTGCTCCAGCAGCCCGTCCAGTCCTCGGTGGAAAAAGATCTCGCTGGGGCCTCCAAATGTTACATTCCGCTCTCACAAGCAAGAAGGGTCGGAGATGGTCGGGCAGTCAAAGATGTTTTATTGGCCAAAGTTTCAAAGTTTTACCTGCTCAGGGGCGAACTCTCGGGGTGTCCGGAGACTCGGTGCCAAAATGGCTGCAAATGAGAGTCACGCCTAACGCTTACAGGCTGGCGTTTTTTATAGAAGCGGGCAAGCAAACGGGTTTCCAGAAGCAAAGGTGGCAGTTAGCGATAGCTAAACGAGCTCAGGTGTGGAGCACTTAACAACAACTCCTGACACATGGAAGCCCTCTATACGTTTTGACCAATTCCTAACTCTCTGGAACACCTGCCTGGGGGTGGGTGCGGTTTCTACTCAGGCTTGAGCGAGCAGTCTTGGGTTGAGCAAACAGCTTAGCACAAACAACTTATTTCCTCCTCGACTCTAACATATACATCTACATTTATATCCACATTATATCTTTATGCTAGTACCACACTGTCTTGGTTACAGTAGTAACCCAATGTCAATTATTGACATTGAGGAAGTCTGAGTTTTCCAACTTTGTTTTTCTACTCCAAAATTATTTTGGATATTATGGGTTCTTTACTTAAATTTTAGAATCATGTTGTTAATTTTAGCAACTAACAACAGCAACAAAAAAACCAACCCCAAACAAGCAAAAGCTGGTAAGATTTCTGACAGGGATTACACTGAATCTTTAGACCAATTTGGGGAGAATTTACATTTTAACAATATTGAATCTTCTTATCAATGAATATCAATTCTCTGACATGCTTTTAAAAACATGTATAATCTCCCCAAATATTTTCAAACAATTCTATCATGTCAATGATTTTCAGATAAATAACCTTATACTTCATGATTGGTGGAAACTTCAGGATAAAGATATACAAAAAAACTATTCATATCAAATTTAAAAAAAGAATTCTGCCTGGCTGGTGTAGCTCAGTGGATTGAGCTCGGGCCTGTGAACCACATGATCGTGGTTCGATTCCCAGTCAGGGCACATGCCTAGGTTGCAGGCCAGTTCCCAGCAGGGGACTCATGAGAGGCAACCATACATTGATATTTCTCTACTTCTCTCCTTCCCTTCCTCTCTAAAGATAAATAAATAAAATATTTAAAAATAAAACCAGTTCCTCCCCCCCTTCCTCCCTGATAATAAAAAAATCTTTAAAATAAAAAATAAAAAATAAAAAATAAAAAAAAGAATTCTGAAACAATCACAAAGTTAAAGTTTCAAGAAAAATAAATATAATTTTTTCTCCCTTGAATCATTTGAGGGTAAGTCACTGACTGTATGTCCCAACAACTTCGAATACTTTAGGCCCTTAAAGTTTGGGGGTATTTCCAACAAACTAGTATATTTTCCTCCATCAGCCAACTCAGGCATCAAAATCAGAAAACTAATTGATACATTTTTCCATTGACCCCTATTCAAGTTCTGCCAGTTGTCCCAGTGATATCTGACTGCGAAGGGTCCAGATCAGAGTCTCATCCTGCATTTAAGCTGTCAACTCTGTCCAGATGTAGCCTTCGGAGCTTCCCTGACCCTGTGACAATGCATTCATGACAAGATGACAGGCCCCTGTGCTATTGTGTGCTCCTCAGTTTGAGTGTCTGATGTACCCATGATTAGATTCAGGTGAAGCAGCCTTGATGCAGTTTCCCTCACTGCAACCCTTTCAGGGACACACAAGGGCCCCTTGTCTCACTGTTGACAAGGTTCACTTTGATCTCTTGATTCAGGCTTCTCCACTATGAAGGTTCTCTCCTCTCCTTTGTAATTAACAACTGTTTGGTGGAGGGCTACCATGTAAATCCTTGTTACTCGCTGGGCTTTCAATTTGTCATCTATTTATATCTGAATGGTTAGATAATTTCTCATTTTATTCAAAGTGTTACAATCTATTACAATCTTTATTTGGATCCTCCCATTGCCCCAGTTTGGCCAGTCTCGTACATTTCCTCTCCCAGCCTGAAATCAGCCTCTTCTCAAAGGAGCCCTAGCTCATTTGAGAGGAAAACAGTCTGGATGCTGGGCATTCTCACTGCTACTGGGTGCTTACTCGCAGGCCGTTTTTAAAGTTAGTCTATTGGGATCTATTTCTACAAAGGATTTCAGGATGAAGAGGTTCACAACTATTAGGCATTTATTTTTAATGTTGCATGGTCAATCAAGAACATTGTGATTTCAAGACTTCTGAATGAATTTTCAGGAAATACATTCATTAAGTAAAGGTTGCAACTCTCTCTGCACAATTCCGTTAAAGAGCCCCTCCCTGCCCCCCGACTCTTCCATGCTAAGTTTTTGATGAACATC